GAGGGCTGGTCATGTTGATAGTAAAACAAAAAATGTGTTTGGGCTGTTGGCCCACCAGGCAAATGCCAGATGGCCGGTCCGCCCCTGCTCGTGTTTACCACCTGGGGTCAGACACCTCTGCTGCTACAGTGTTTCAATTCCTGGAAAACTTCATGTGTGATAAAATTTCATGAAATATAAAAGCAAGCTGTGTTTTGTCTGTGATGCGGTCTGACCACTGCTGCAGCAAGGGTTGGATCCTCAGCCCCTTCCTGGTTCTTCTCCTCACAGGAGAGGGTCGCCAGAGATCTTTTCAGCTTACAGTGATCACCTTTATCTTTGCCACAGAAACAAAACGATGAGGCAGTGATTCCATTTTAACGTGATTTTAAGGGATACTTTGCACAGTATGTGCTAAAATTACCCTTTACAGGGTTAATGAAAGGCCAACCAACCCTTGTGGCAAGAATACCCCACTTGCAACTTCAGAGTGCCGGTCCGGTCGGTTGGGACTTGGGAGAACAATGGAGCTGACATACTGGCCGCTGCAGACTGGTTCTAGCATGTTTCCTGCATGTTTTAGATCATGAACACAACTGATTTTGTGATGAATCCCTCTTGTAGACAATAATAAGGGCTGAGAGACATTTCAGCTTTCAGATTTAGGTGTTAAAAAGACGAACGCACAGCAAGGATATAGGTTTTGGCTTTGGTTCTATAAATGGACACTAGGGGGTGCTAAAAGCAAGCCAAAACTACCTAGTCTCCCCTTAAATATAAAAAGCACAGAAATGAGTACACAAACAGGCCTGGACTCCCTGGATTGCCTCCAGAAAGGAACTCAAGTTTTAGCTGACATCATCTTATGTAGGCTACCTCTTCCTGGGTCGTCACCCACTTAAGACTTGGCACCCTCTTATGGGATGAAAACCAGGAAGCCATGTGTCAGACGTGGCGGCTCCACGGCTATGCTAACTGAAAAAGATACGAGAACATTTGGTGTTTGCACCTGAACAGCTGACAATTCCAGCATATTAGACTAGGTAGATCTGATGGAAACCCAGAGACAAAAGGACCCAGATCATTAACACACAGATTATCCAACAAATAAATAGTTATGCTAGCATGTTGTGTTTTTTATGATACATGACTTCAGCCTGACATTGTTAGAAGGACCGACGACAACAGGTAATGGAATTGTTGTTCTTAGCCTTTCCCCAGAAGCCATTTAACAGACCTGAACTGTCACTTTGAAGATTCCTTGAGGCTTTTCTTCTTGGAAATGCCGAACAGTCCCGTTAGCCTAACCTCACGCAGCTGTTTCGTTGCCAAGGCTATGACAGCAGGTTAAAGAGCAGGTGCATCTTATTAAATGCTCCTTAAACCAGCAAAGTAAGTGGGCTGCAGTCGAGTCATCTGCCTCATTACAATTATCATGATTGCTGTCAACTTATCCACTTTAGCTAAAAGGATTAGCTTCTTTGCCCACGTATCTTCTAATGCACTCACTATTCACCATTAGCGTGTCTTTTCCTTCCTGGTGAACCTCTTCCACACCAGTTTTTGATTTTCTGTCATTGTTTTTCAACTCTTCCCTACATTCTTTATCACTGGAAAAAGTGACTTAAGTCATACTAATACTCCTAAATATCACAGGACAGTTATTGTGAGGCATTTATGTATTTGAATAATAGAAGAGGTGTGTTTTAAGCACATTATGTAAAACGCTTCAGTAGAAAAGACCAAGGAAATGAAATCCCACAAGGACCAATTGACCTTTTTGGACTGGCGGTGCTGCAAAAAACTTGTATTGGGCCAACATTGGTGGAACCGTCTGAATCTAAATGAGGTGTTTGGCAGGAAGGAGGAGGGCTGGGGAGAGATGGAGAAGGAATAAAGAGATGTGGGTGAGATGAGCGGGATGAGGAGAGGTAGATGGAGTGATGGGACGAAATGAAACAGGCTGGACACAAAAGTGCCGGGATAAGGAGGGGAAATTAGACGGTAAGGAAATAAAATGAAACAAATTTAGCTATTTTAAAGTGAAGTGATGTGACAAAGAAATGGAGGGATGGAGAAATGTTGGACAGGAAAGAAAAAGTGCTAGAAATAGTAATTCTATTTGAGTTTTGGAGAAACGTAGGCCAAGAAAAGCAGGGGAAAAAGAGCTGATTAAACTAAAATGAGGGAGCGAAAAAGTTTGGAGAAGAAGATAGTTTGGGATTCTCAATTTCAAGCTGCTCCTTTATTAGATATACTTTGGTAGTACTGGGTTTGACTAGCCTAGCAAGCCATCCTATACATGTAAATATGTAGGAAGGCCACGACCCATAGACGGAGCTCGGTCGTGGGGCGAAATCTGCAGTTGTCTTTCAAACTGTCTCTGCATGACAATGAACAACACGACGTCCTCAACGCTACGGATGTCAGTCAACAGAGCAGTCCGACAAATACCATCAAAGAAGAAGCAAACAGATACATTTTTTAAATAAAGTACTTAAACACCTCTATCTGCTTACGTGTCAAAAGCCCTTTTTGCAAGACCCCCCAAATCGGCGTAATCTTACCACAACGGTGTGTCTTATGAACGCGCCATTGCATTGTGCGAATTGTGCATCATTCTTTCCACTTTGCTTGGTAGTAATATTGCGGTAATTGTCTGCCTCATAAACGGCGATTGCACCTTGGCGCAACAGAGGGAGGCGTCATGGTGACGTGGGGAGTTACTGCCGAGCTCCGGCTGGCAACTATTTTTGAAAATGAAAGTAAATACGAGCAAAATGAGCTGAGACTGAAAACTGGAGCACTGCAGCGATCCTGGGGCTTCTCTCCGTTTGAGCTAGTGGTCAGATCACCTGAGGCTGCACGGGGGCTGTGGGGGACAGGCACTATTAGGAGCGGCTTGTCAAAAAAACGTAATGAGCCGGGCTTCGATCACAATAAAAAGCACGTTGTGTCCAAGTTAAGCAGAAGTCCATGGCAGTACAGGGGTCTCCCTCGTACCCTGTTTATGCCACCATCACATAATCTTTTGTAAAAAAGAACACGATTGCACCACATTACCGCCACGGTCTGACCACTTATGAACAACCTACGGCTCCCAGATGCCGCCACAGCGTTGTGGCAAATTGACAGCATTGTTTTGTAAAAACGGTTAAAGAAAAGCCCAAATCAGAATTGTCTAAAGCCATTTAAAGCGAGGGGAGTTTTCCTTTCTAATGTCGCTACATGCTTGCTGTAAAGTCTCTCACACAAGTCAGTGACTCGGTGCAATCTGCTAGGTTTCCTTACATTTAATTAATAGACATAATGACTTGAACTCAATCAGAATTAGTGATGCACCAATATGAAATGTTTGGGCCGATACCGATATCCGATATAAAGATCACTGTTATGGCCGATAACCGATATTTGCCGATACTGAAAAACTGACATTAATGCTTCTAAAATCAGCAGATTTTGTATAGAATGAAAATGATTAAAGCTGATTTTACGTTATTATGTACACACAACACACACATGTACGCTTCTGATATGATTACATCCACTGTGCACATGACTAAACAACCACACATCACCCCTCACCCTCTGAAACAGGCAAACAAATGGAGATGAGATGGAAAAAATATCGGTTGTTAATATCGGCCCGCTTTTATTTATCGAACCGATACTGATATGTTAAAAAATGACTAACATTGGCCGATACTGATATTGATGCCGATATATTGTCCATCCCTAATCGCAATGTTTACTTTGTGAAGTGCCCAGAGACAACTCTTGGCGCTGTATTGGTAAACTGAACTAAATTGAGCCAAACAAGGATCACTGATTGGCCTGACCAAGAGTTGTTTAGGCCACAGAGTGTGGGTAGACCGACCTGCAGGGTAAAATATTTTTGAACCGCATTGGTTTGTCTAGTTTTCTAGGCTTATGCTCTCAGAACTTGCCTTCCCTGTCTTCCTGTCATAGATTCAACAAGGTGTTGGAACCCGTCCTCAGAGATTCTGGTCCACGTCATCCCACTTTTTCATCCATGAGGGGAATCTCCCATTCCACCACATCCCAAAGATTCTGGACCAGACTGAGATTTGGTAACTGGAACCCATGGTCATGTTCCAGATCCAGTTAGAGATTATCTAATCTTTGTGACATGGTGCATGATCCTGCTGGAAGTAGCCATCAGAAGATGGGTCCAAGTGGTCAGAAAGGGTTAGGCTAGATTTCTAAATGCATCGAGTTCCTGCCATATGATCGCGAAGATCAAAAAAGAGCTGGAGGTGAAAAAGTGATACAGGTGCTAAGCTTGGCAGACAAAATGGGAGATAAAAGGAAGCAGGTGCAATAAGAGCTGCTGTTTATGGAGCTGCAAAGGTCAGAAGACTTGGGGTGGGCCCTGGAGACAGCAGGAAGCACTGTGTGGGAGAGAGCTGAGAGAAGAGCAAAAAAAAAAAAAAGGTTGCTGGGTATGAAACAGCTGAAAGAAAGAGCTGTTTTTGTCACATCTGAAACAAAACACAGTATTTAGACACACGTGCCAGAGGGGTTTACATACTTTGGAATGCAGATTTTTTGGTTTCATTCATTTCTGATTTTCAAGCATGTGGCGCAGTAGGAAAAGCAGACATCCATGTTTATATACAGCACTGGAGGTGTCCAGTTAGCTGGAAATTTTAAGTTAGGCTTCTTGTTTTGGATGTTGTTTTGTTTCAGTTATTGTTGAACAGACATTGCAGTCCTTTGGGCCTACAAAACAATAAAACGATGGTTGAGAAATAACATTTTCAGGGCTGGCAATAAGGTTAAAAAACGATTTTCAAACATGTTTGGTCGTGAAGTGATTTCAGTCGTGAATGAGAACGAACCTGCATTTTTAAAAGTCAGTGTATTTGATTTTGCTACCCTCTAGTGGACGCCTAGACAATTAAACCAGAGTTTTTATATTGTTTCTCCGCCTTCTTTTCTCCTTTTAATAAACTTCGGGTGTTTATAAAAATAAGCATTTTGACTGAATTTCTTGAATTACTTTTTGCTCTATTTAAAATTAATTTTAACACGTGATGGCCCAATATCACCATTAAGAATTGCGTTTAATTTTATCCAAACCGGTAGCCATAGGGAGGAGTAAACGTTGCCTTAGCAACAACCTCGGATCGCTTCAGACTGACCAAATTAGCTCGACTTATTTAACAGACTTTTACTTTCTTGAACCTCTGGAGTCACGATGGCAACAAACAACCCGAGCGTGTTCCTCCTCACGGTGAACGGGCAGATTGAGGGAGCGAACGTAAGTCGTCTTTTTAGCTAGTTTTAGCTTAGCTGCTAGCGTTAGCATTAGCAACAATGGCTCGTTTGGTGCTTCATCCGGGATGTTCCGGGTTGTTTATGGTGATGTTTGTCTTTTATTTCAGTTTCCAGAGCATGACAATCTGTACTGCAAATATTGTTACGTGTACGGCCACGACTGGGCTCCAACCACAGTGAGTATTACAACCATTAGCATTTAGGATGAAACATGAAGTATGCTTGTTGGGTACCACTTTACAATACTAATACATTTATTATAGTGATGTTATTAATGTTTTCAACGTTTTAAAGCCATTAAGTGTTTATTATGCACGAATTAAGGGTGAGAATGAGACTAAACTGGCCGGATTCTTGCCGGTATACTTCTACTAGACTGTATGTATTACACAGATCAGACTGCTATATAAACAATTTATTAGCATATTATAAAAACATAACTATCACATGACGTCAAAAGTGTAAAAAACATGTAACTTTCTGAAATGTTTTAATATAGAAACTAGAGGAAATATATGGGTGATCAGATATGGCTCACTATTGGGCAAGATGTCTCTTTTCCACTCTTCGTTCATGTAAAATAAACGTCTTGGGTTCTGAGAGCACTTATTGTGCATTTTTAATTTTCATCTATCTGTTCTGGATTTGTAAGACCTCAGAAATATATTATTTAAAGCAAATACTAACTGATAATGGATTTTTTTTAGCTCTAAATTAAAAATAATTAATTACGTTTCCTTGAGTAATAATACAATTTTGTAAGATATAAACAAAATGATATCTCAAGGCTTTTTCCACATATGTGGATGCTGTGTTTACAGATGGGTTCATAACAATAACCCTTATTGTTAAAGATGTTCAATATGCTTTTTTTTTACGGATAATACTACGTTTGAACACGAACCCACACAGATGCAGACAGTAACAAACGAAACCTCAGATCAGCCATATTTTGATGTGTTTGAGGAGTTTGATGTATAATGTGAGCATGTTATGCAAAGGTTGTGTCATTCAAACAGTAAAAAAGATAACTCAACGATGTTACATTTTAATGCCAATATCGGACGATGGTATTGCCCAATAACGTCAGACGTGACTTTCAAGGATACAGAACAGGGTTTATAGATAGTTAATGCAGCGGTGGCTGGATGGAGTTGTGTTGTAACGAATGTGACTCTCCAGGGACTGGAAGAAGGAATAACTCAAATAACCTGCAAAAACAGTCAGACACAGAGATTAGTCTGGAACTTTCCTCTGGAGACGACGTTTAAGAGCACAAATCCTTTTGGGTGTGAGTAGATCACAATTTCATCATCATCATCATCATCATCATCATGTGTGACTCTTTAGGATTAACGCCGTTTGTCCCCCAGGGCCTCAGCTGGTGGTGAGTGTGTACGGACCAGATGTGTTTGGTAATGATGTGGTCAGAGGCTATGGAGCAACGCACATCCCCTTCACACCTGGACAGTCAGTATTACTTTCATGTTTGACCTAAAAGCATACAGAATGTGTTACTTCGGTTTGAAGATACAGATCTGAATGTCTTTCACTTGTCAGACATAAAAGATCCATCCCCATGTTCGTTCCCGAGCCCACGTGGAGACTTCAGAAGTTCACAGGGTGAGATCGGTCTCCTTAGCTGTTGGAAACCCGTGATCTTTAGAGGAACAGTAAATATTTCATCTTCCTCTCATGTGGAACGCAAGCTTCCAACACAAACACACGTTTTAAAGGTTCATTTTTGACTAATCTTTGTCACGTTTGGATACTTTAGATTCACACTCGGGCTTGTTTGATGTTGCTCTCAGTCTTTTTAGTGTTTTTCTTTTCATTTTTACCATGAAAACTGAATATTAATGTGATTATTATTAGATCTGATGGAGTTTTTTGCCATTTTGAGGAGCGTTTTGTGTAAAACTTACTAATTATCTGGTCAGAGAAACAGACTGTGCATCCTAGAGGACTGATGAGCCACATCCAGGCCTCTAAATGTCATAGATCGCCATGTGAGGTCATTTCACTGCTGTTAGGTTCTCATCACATAGACATTTTAGCAGAAATATGAATAAATTCCTGCAGGACCTGACCCCTGATGCACCAGAAATGCTAGTTTATTGGGGATGTTTACATTTGTAAAGAATGTGATGGACCACAGTGAGCTTTAGCAGACCTGTGCCGTTTTATGACAGCAGCAACTGGGACTAGCCATTAGCACGACCTTCGTGAAGGATGCAAATTATTCAGGAAGCTGTGAACTGTTTCAGAGAAACACGCTAAAAGATCCTATTTCTGTTCAGCTGGCTGCTGGGGCGGCGGCCCGAGTACACAGACCCTAAGGTCGTGGCCCAGGGCGAAGGCAGAGAAGGTTAGTGGTGCTTTTTCTTCTTTTACCTTTCTAGAATAAAACTTTTAACATATATATATTTTTCCGTTTCAGTGACAAGAGTTTGTTCCCAAGGCTCTGTAACCGTCTCCTTTCACATCATGAGTAAAGACATGAAGAAGATGGGCTACGACGTGGGACCGTCACACGTCCACTCTGCCACGCCGGACTGAGCCACACCAACTCCTCCACGTGGATTTAGAGCAGTCAGCCACAACCTCTGAACTCTGAGCTGACTCGCCTTTTGGAAAACAACCAGTCAGAAACCGACACAGGAACACTAGAGGGGCTGATAAATGGATGCTCTGACTGTAGTTATCTTCTCACGGAGGTCACATGGGAAGGTGGAGTCTGGATGATGCTGTGATTGATCCTAAAGCTGGCATCTGACTGAGCTGTAGGGAAAACATGGAGTCACCTGGAACGGGTTCCTATGAAACTTTGACCATATCAGTCATGAATTTCAGGTTTTTTCACTAAATGAAACTAAACTCGGCTTTTCCAGACACCTCTAAATAAACTCACACAGCACCATTAGTCGTTTTCTGCTCTCGACAAACATGCCAGTGGTCGTAATGTAATGCTGATCCAGTGGTTATTCCTGTCATCCTTTAAATATGTAACGTCTCTTTTCTGAGTTGTGCTGATTTGTATTTGACTAAGTCAGGGGTGTCCAATCCTGGTCCTGGAGGGCCGGTAACCAGCAGGTTTTGTGGTTTTTCTGATTCAAAACGCTTGATTAGCTGGTTGAATCACCTGTGCAGCAGCTCATCAGGCTCTGCAGAAGCCTGTTAATCACCTGCTGATTGAAATCAGGTGTGTTGAAGCAGGTTAAAACAAAAATGTGCTGGACACCGGCCCTCGAGGACCAGGATTGGACACACCTGGACTAAGTAAATCAGTGGTGCTGACCAGTAATGTTGCAGACTGAAACAGGAAGTGAAACACAATTTATTTTGAACTGATGCAGCTACAGTCGTCCTCGTCCAACAGGGTGCTGCCCGCGCTCGTTTGTTTTAGGTGCCGTTAAAATACCACAATGACTTTTCCTACAAAAATAATAAACCCATTACACAGAATAATAAGGTATACAGAAGAACAGTATGTTACAATAGTACAAATGATAAATTATATTATACAGTTGTAATGCCATCGGGTTTAGCACAAATGAAAAACAAACAAACAAAACCAAGCAGCCTGCTCCCAGTACTACACACAGGGCAACTAGACGAGACATGAAGGAATAAACGAGTCATTTTATGCCAACAAAAACAAAAAAAAGCCCATAAATTCATTTAGTTAGTCCTTTTGATAAAAGCTCGGTGAATATATGACACGTTTTACTGAAACATAGCCACTCCTTTTTAGATAAACTGCATAAAGTTTCCCATAAATATACGACTAGAGTTTAAGGTCTGATTAAAGATGAGCGAGAATCCCAGAATCCAATATTTTTTTTTTGCATATTTTTAGTGGGGATTAAAAATGCTTGCTGGTCTCTAAGTAATATAGTTCAAACCACTAATTCAAGATATCAAGCTAAAAAAAGAAAAAGCCTCCTTTGTGCCTGAGAGAAGCGGTGGAAACATCCAGTCCTGCAGCGAAGCACCAAGCCACACGGGGGCGCCATGCCACAGAAACAAACACTGGCAGTTCAATCAAAACCAACCCAGCATCACAAAGGTTTAAGAATGAAGACAAGTCGACACAACGTGCTATTTATCTTCAGCCTCCTTTTGTTTTTCTACCAGAAGAAGAGATGCAGCAAACACCCGGCCTCATTAAACAGTTTAGTAATCGTCTCTTATACCACGTGGTGGTCAAGCGTGACCCCACGGTTGTAAATATTCCACATCGGGCAGAAACCAGTCGCTACGACTTTGGTAACAGTTGTGCTTTTAGGAGAATGACATAGCCTACCCAGAGGGTGAGAAAAAAAACAAAAAAAGATGACAGCTCAGCTACGGATTAACATCAAACTCCCGGAAAAAGAAAACAAACACCTGCTTGTTGACATGATGTGGAATCCCCCTGTGCTGGGAATAGACTAGACCCTGGTTCTGTGTGTGTTCTGTTCCTGTAGCGAGGTTAGCCAAAGCTAATCCAATGGGGCCGGTTGGTGGCTAACACTAACGCTTCATGAAAACCTTGTGTGGAGGACTAACTCACGGCGGCGGCTAAAATAAACATGGAAGCTAAATGCACCAATCCTCATTCATCCCTTTTATCCTAAATACTTAAAAAAATCTATTTGTTCATTTGAGAAAATACTGAGTTCATGTCTTTCCCTCTATGAACGCTCAAGGAGATTGGCGGGGGGGGGGGGACTTGTTGGAAAACGTTTCAACGTGTCGCCGTTAGTATCCGAGCACACACCAACGTAGGAAAGTCTCAGGAGTGTGGGGGGGTGGGGGTCTGGCCTCTTGGGGTCGACGGTGAAAGTTGTGAGTAGTACCAAGAGCCGAGGCAGTGAGAGTGTATGTCGTCACGGGTGTTCTGTCCTCGCTGAGCTAAGGTGTAACGGTGAGTCCAACAGTCGCAGAAAAAAAAAAACAATAAAAAAGCAAAAATTGTGCAAAATTCCTGCTTTGTGACAAATACAGAGTATAAACACATCTCTCGTATTTACCCCAGGTTTACTGGAGGTGACACAGTGTAAAAGTACTGAGATGTGCAGACGCACGTGTCAGCTGACAGGGCTTAGAGAAGATTAGCTGGAGTGAGGAGATAAGATCCTGGCGTTAGTACAGTTAGACTCTCTGGTCGCGCCATCACGGAGGAGAGGAGCGGGCCTACGGGCGAGGAGGAGGGTTAGTGAGAAGAAGACGGGGAGGAAAGAGACTGGGTTTTTGTCCTCAGCATCATCTTCAGATCAGTCCAAAAACCAGGCAGCATTTAGCTCAGGAGGAAGGGAGGTGGATCACCAGGGTGGACCTGGTTTGGGAGTGGCTTAGAGTTGGATACGTGGGGTATCTCCTGGTGAGAACCAACGATCACAAAAGGAAAGGGTTGGTGGGTCCGGTGGGCTGGGACCCAGCCTGGGCGGGCATGGTCATCAGCGGCTGGGGCATGGTCATAGAAGCTGGGTACCCTGCATTCATTTCTCCACTTGTCCCCATCCCACCTGCGGCTCCCATTCCCGACATCCCGTGGCCCATGGGGGCCATCCCGGCTGGGGGGACCACGGGCTGAGCTGGAAGGGAGGACAGAGGCATGGGATCCACCATGCTGCCAAAGCCAGAGGGCATCGGGCTGACCCGCATCTGGTTGAGAGTTGGGGGCACTGGCTGGCCGACTTGGAATGGGTTGACATGGGCAGCTGGAGTAGATGTACCTACATGAAACAGAAACATCAGTGTCAGTTCAGTCGGCCAGTTTTAGGACCCAGATTGGTCCGATCTCTCTGTGGAATACTGAAAATGACCTTTGACCCCTCACATGACCAGCAGCAACAGCTACTAGAGTCATTGCTGATCCTTGGTATTGTGCTCACACACACCGGTATACTCCAGACCTGCAGCCCCGTGTTTCTAAAGCGGTCCGTTTAGCTGATGTGTTTCTATTCATTTGAGTCTAAATTTTATTTTTGTTGTAAAGCCTGACAAAGATCTGCTTCATTCCCTAACAGGTAAAACTAGAAGTGAAAGATGCAGTGGTGCCACCAGAAAAATTTCCAGGGGGGCCTTTGGCCACCTCTTTGGGGGGGCACTGGAAAGATGGTGGACAAGACTGTATAGGCACAGAGCAGTGAGTGTAAGATGCTTATGAAGCCTTGTTAAAACTGCTAACATTCACATCTGGACCAGTGTCCTGTCGCATTCCTACCTCCGGAAGCCAAGAACGGGTTAACAGCTGGTGCCGGCTGGGCTGGTTTGGTCACCAGAGAATCCAGATTGACCAGGGCAGCATTGGGTCCCAGGAAGGACTCTGGAGTCTTTCTAGTTGGATTTGTGCCGAAAGAAGAGGGCAATGTGGAGGGCAGAGGGTCAAAGAAGTCCAGGCTGCTGCTACTAGCAAGACTGGCTTGGGAGGGGACGGAGGATGCTATGCCTCCATCAGCTGGAGGGGGAGGGGGGAAGAAAAAAAAAGTCTTTTACCATTTAAAGGCTCTCATAAGGCAGCAAAACGCTTCAAAGACCCAACGACTCTAAACTTCAAACATCAAAACTGCTACGTCTCTGCAAACGCAACCGTCTTCTGATTAGTGCAAATCATCGCTCTAGTAGCACAAATAAAAAGTGTGCTAGCGTGTCCTTCACCTTCATCCACCTTTACTGAAGAAAAAAACGGTCGAAGCAGTAAAAGATGATGATGGTGCCATTATGAGAGGACATCGGAGGCAGACAGCCTGGCTGTTATTCTGTGGAATCCAGCTTTTAATGCACTAAGACAACCTCAGCATGTCTGAACACACGCACGCACACACACACACGCGCGCACACACACGCGCACACACACACACACACACACACACACACACACACACACACACACACACACACACACACACACACACACCAACAAGACCCTCGAGGAAAACACGCAGACCTGAGCCACACCAGTCATGGAACCCGTCTGACACCAATCCGAATGGACTTCATCTGACCAATTCAGAATTTAGACTCATTAGATGAGGGTTTCCATTAAACCGATTGGCTTAGAGACAAAAATGTCTTCAGCAGAGCGCACACAGAAGCTGTTTGAGGTACCACCACACTGAGATGAGACCAGACTTGAGCAAGCAGCTTATTGGGAGCGCAGAACCAGAATTCGAATGATCTGCGGTCCAAACGCTGCCAGGACTCAGCTCTGGTGGCACCACACAAAGACACTGAGATATAAAACGACAAAAAAACACAAACTCCGTGTCATTAGAAGGGACAAAGACAGGGTGAGTACCAGTGGGGACAGAGGAGGAAGAGCGCAGGCTGTCAAACTCTGAGAAGTCCTCTTTGGATGTACCATTGGATGTACTGAACAGGTCAAAGCTACCTGAAAGGAGACAACCCAAACACACACACACACACACACACAACAGAGAAGGTGCACAATAGTCACAGCAACAGAAACACCGGCACACACAGACAAATGGAAACATGTTACAGGTGCGTGTGGACATCTGGGTTATGTCACAGGTAAACATCCTGAGTGACTGAAGGCATGCAGATGGAGCGGTGGTGTTATGTTCTGTTTGTGCTCCAGCAGGAGATTATAGGTTATTCTACTGAAAACAGAAACATCCCGTAGTCCTCCAGTGCCCTAATCCTGATCCACGGGCAGATTAACGGGATAACAGTGGCCTTACAGGCTTCTAGGTGGGTATTAAAGGGATCTCAGCTGCTCCATAGTTTGTTTCTGTTAAAAGTCAGAAGTACTATTTTACCCTGAACAGCTTCTGTTCACAGGACTGATAGGCTAATGGCTAGGCCAAAAGGCCAGGATGTAGATAAAACTCTTTCTCTAAGCATGCCAACATCAAGTAACGGGTAGGTGGAGGACGAAACACACAACAGTACCTGTGTGGGAGGTCTTGGGACGGGCGGCTGCAGAACCCCAGGGGTCAGAGGCAGGAGTGGAGGGGTTTGATGCCCACGGGTCGCCACTCTTCACAGACGGGAGAGAGGAAGGAGCGCCCCACGGGTCCGCTGGTACCGCCGGCTTGGGGGCAGAACCTAAGGACAGGTTTGGACTAGAATGATTCACCCGGATATTTCTGACTGGATAGTTTATTTGGGACATTAAGGAGGGACTAGGACTGAACGATTTTTAGGAAAAGATCGAATTGCGATGTTTTTCTAGTAGAAACTGCGATTTTAGTTCAATTGACGATTTTCTTCAAACACTAGCCTGCCAAGCCATCCTGTATAAGAAGTGAAAAGATGGTCTAGATTCTAATCTAGTACAACAAATCATTCACATTAATATTTACTACCCAACCCTCCCATAAAAACAGTTAAAGCTATTAACATTTTCTCCCATTATTACCGTATTTTCCAGACTTTAAGTCGCACTTTTTTTTTCGCAGTCTGGCTGGTCCTGCGACTTATACTCCGGAGTGACTTATATACCAAATTATGTATACCGCGCTGCTGCGGACCGGCTCCAGACCAGGAATAAGCTCCTCTGCCCCGCCATCACCTGCAGGAGACCGTGGCGCGCTGCTGTGCCCTGGTTGTTTATTCTGTTACCGGTAGTTGTCTTGCGATGTGAAATGCTTGGTCTCAGATTTTGTAAGAAAAATAATAAAATTTCCCCCCAAAATGCGACTTATAGTCCAGTGCGACTTATATATGTTTTTTTCTTCTTCATTGTACATTTTATGGCTGATGTGACTTATACTCTGGAAAATACAGTATATTTGTTTATGTTTATGTATTTAGCAGACGCTTTTGTCCAAAGCGACTTACAAGTGATAATCGGCATGTTGCCCTTGAGGCTAACAACAACAATAACAACAACAAGAAAAAACACCAATTTCCAGTCAGTGTAGGTGACAGCGAGGCAACATGATGAATCATGGAGAGGAGGGAACAAGGAGTGGGCAGTAGAGAGCGGGACGGGTGCAGGGAGGGTGCTAGTTTGGAAGATGCTCTCTTAAGAGCAGGGTCTTCAGGAGTTTCTTGAAAGTCGAAAAAGAAGCCGCTGTTCTGGTAGTGTTTGGTAGGTCATTCCACATTTGTGGAACGATGCATGAGAAGAGTCTGGATTGTCCTGAGCGTGGTGCAGGCACTGCTAGCCGACGATCCTGTGATGACCGGAGAGGCCGGGCCGAGACGTAAGCCTTTGCAAGAGGATTCAGGTAGATGGGAGCCGTACCATCTCGGACTTTGTATGCTAGTGTTAGCAATTTGAATTTGATGCGTGCTGCTAGCGGTAGCCAATGGAGCTCAATGAACAGAGGGGTGACGTGTGCTCTTTTGGGCTGATTGAAGCAACATGATCTTTAAAGGTCAGGTGTTCATCAATCACAACACCCAGATTTCGAACTGCCTTTGAAGGAGCCAAAGATAAGAAGTCATTTTGGATTGAGATATTGTGCTGTATGGATGGTTTTGCTGGGATGACAAGCAATTCAGTTTTGAGTTGGAAATGGTGGGATGTCATCCATTTTGATAAGTCAGAGAGACAGTTTGATATTCATGCAGAGACAGTGTGGTCGTCCGGTGGAAATGACAGATAGAGCTGGGTGTCGTCTGCATAGCAGTGGTAGGAGAAACCATGTGATCGAATGATCTCACCCAGTGAGGTGGTGTATATGGCAAAGACAAGAGGTCCTTGTGGCAAGATGGTGCACGGTAGAGGATTGTCCAAGCCAAGATACACTGAATGATCGTCCTGTGAGGTACGATTCAAACCAGGCGTGTACTTTCTCTGTGATGCCCATGCTAGAGAGTGTGGACAAATGGAAGCCATGGTTGACAGTGTCGAATGCAGCCAATAAGTCGAGCAGGATAAGCACTGAGGATTTGGCGGTCGCTCTAGCTTCTTTTAAGGATTCCGTCACTGCTAACAGAGCAGTTTCAGTGGAGTGGCCCTTTTTGAACCCAGATTGGTAAGGGTCAAGCAGACAGTTTTGTGAGAGGTATTCTGTGATCTGCTTGAAAGCCACCCTTTCAATGATTTGGGACAGAAAAGGGAGGAGAGAGATAGGTTGGTAGTTCTCCACGATTCTGAGGAAGAGATGTTTTTTTTTTAGCAGCGGTTTAACCTGAGCATGCTTGAGAGAGGTGGGAAATGTATCGGATGTCAGTGAAGCGTTGATCACATGTGTGACTGCTGCGGCTACTGTAGGAGCAATAGCTTGGAGCAGCTTAGTCGGAATGGCGTCGAGTGGGCATGTAGTAGGGCGGCTGCACGTGAGAAGCTTGGACACACAGTTCTCAGTGAGAGGGGAAAAAGGAAAATGAAGCAGTAGGGCTTGAGATGGTTGGGCTAGAAGGAGTTTGTGGTAGCGAATGTTCAGGAGTAGCCAGTTGAGTAAACTGTTTGCTTATAGCTGCCACTTTGTCAGTGAAGAATGAGGCAAAGGTGTCAGCTGATAGATTGTTGGTAGGAGGTGGAGACGGAGGGTTGAGCAGAGTTTTGAATGTCGAAAATAGTTTCTGAGAGTCAGTAGAGCTGAGAATTTTGTATGTATTTATATATATTTTTTATGTGCTTGTGAAGTAACTACTGATTTTTTTCTGGAGAGGTGCTTTATAAAAAACATGTTCTTGTTCTACTCCAAAAATGCAAGTAGTTCATCAGAAGGTAGAAACAGCTTTCAGATGTATTAAATAACTAAATATCCATTTTCCCTGCATCACCAAGCAGTTATGATGTCTAGCTTATGCTGCGGGCAGCTCCCTGAGACTCGCGGATTTAAAGAGACACGTTAGCTTGTTTGAACTAACGTGTGCCATCAGAAACATTCAAACCATTTTTAATAGAGAAGTTGAGCTTTCAAGTCAACCAAAGTGTGCGACTCTGCTGGTGAAGCATAAACCAAGCTTTTTACATCAGCCTGAACCTGCTCTGATGTAGGAGGAGTCTCTCTCTCTCCCTCGCTCACCTACGGTCCCATTATTATCGGCTCTAGCGGCTCTGTGTGTGGAGAAATGAAACCGGCACAATAACCTAAGTGTGCTGCGCTGTCAGCTGTGGAGTTGGGCTCGGCTCCAGTGGGTACGCCGCACCCCCCTCCCCCGCGCTGGTTGTTGCCGCCGCCGTAACACAGGAGGAAACCCCAGATGTAAAAAAAAAAAAAAAAAAAAAAAGTTGACAACAGATCCTGGATCAGCCAGAACTGCAAAAAAATAAAAAATAAAATAAACGCAGCTTTGACGGTCACGTGATCGTGCGGTTTGAAGCCACAATTTCAATCCAAAAACGATCGGTGATTTCAGCCCTAGGAGACTTAAAAAAAAAACATCACAAAAGTTCTGGAGGATCATCCAATCTTGTTGAAAACTGGTGTTTATTTCGTTTTCCTCATCCAACCCCCATAAATCCCTGTGTGTCCTCCTGCAGCACTCCCGAGTGAACACAGGCAAGACAAAAAAGTCTGACGTGTTGTGTAAAAACAGCTATTTTTAGCCTATTTTTTAGGTCTGACGTGTTGCTACCAGACGTACAGTGTGAGCAGTCAGGTTGCATCCGAGAACTGGGTCGTACAGTGTGAGCACATGACTCGTGAGATCTGCCCTGCGAGGAAGTCGTACAGTTTGAGCTGAAGCTGAGTGCTACGAGTGAAAAAGTCGCACAGTGTCCGCCCGGCTTTAGCCTACTTCATGTTGTCAGACAGGTTCTATTGGAGTGATTGAGGTCTAGGCGGGGTTAGTAGAACCTAACTCAGCTTTACCCCCATCACAGATAAAATCATTCAGCTTTTACTCAGGTAAGCTTTCACTTTTAAAAACAACATTTATGTGGCAAAACCACAAAAACAAACATTACTTTTATACAGTCATGCGTGACTATACTGACTGGATAACTAATGCGACCACTCCAACATGAAGCCAAAATGGTCCATGTCACATTCCTGCCCACAAGCCCGTCTAAAGCCCGCATCACACCCACTTTTATCTCCCCAAGCCTCCCTTCCTGCATCACAAACCCTCCACACTCCTTTACTTCCTCCTAACCCCTCCTCCCTGCTGAAATGCTGCAGAGCCAGTGGAGCAGCATTCCAATTAAACAAAGAGTCACAGTCCTGCTGGCTGCAGGTGGAGACATGCCACACACACACACACACACACACACACACACACACACACACACACACACACACACACACACACACACACACACACACACACACACACACACACACACACACACACACACACTCTTGTATTTGTACCCATGTTAGGACTTTGCATTGACTTCCATTCATTTTAGTGAGTCCACTATGCCCCCTAACCAGTGTATTCCTAAAATTATCTGTAACAAAAACTCAATTCACATCTTATCTGTAAACCTCACCCCTAGGCAGTACTCCGTATTAGGACCGGGTTTTGGTCCTAACAAGGACCATCGGTCCTAAGAAGGTTAGTAAATATCCCAAATCCGGTCTTCACAAATACAAGCACACACACACACACACACCTTTAGCGGTGAAGAGTGTGCGTGTGTAACAGCATACCGTAAGGCTGCCATGGATCTGCTGATGCAGCCGCAGCTCCGGCTCCAGCCCCGCCCCTGGCTCCTCCCCCCACGCCCCATGGGTCGGCTCTGGCACTTGGCTCAGGAACATCCATCAGATCCATCAAAGATGACTGTGGCTACAAAGACAGATGTTGTGTTTGTTAAACAATAAAACAAAGATGAGCTCCCAGAGCAGCATCAGGGTCAGACGGGAACAATCGTAACTGTATCAGGAGTGCAGAATTCTACCTCTTTCTTCTTCCTGGGGAGTTTTCCTGAGCCAGGACCTTCTTTCTTACTCTCCTCCAAAGCCATCTGTAGTCTCAGGTCGTCACCCCTGCGTAGGCGCTCCTCCTAAACACACACACACACACACACACACACACACACACACACACACACACACACACACACACACACACACACACACACACACACACACACACACACACACAAAGTGAAACTTGCTGCTGTGCACATTTTATGCATAACTTATCTTGTAGATGAGGCCAAAAACAGAAACTGCATTGACTCTTCTTTACTAGAGAACCCTCCGTGATACAGCACTGATCCGTGTCAGGTTGGAACTTGTGTTTGTGACTACCTGCTCTGCAGCTTCTCTGCTCATGGCCAGGGCAAGCTGTAGCTGGAGTTCCTCTTCTCCGCTGGTCTGAGGTCTGGCCTGCTCCAGCTCTGAGCCCGGGTTGGGAGACGTGGCTGGAAACACATTCAGATTGAGTGTTTACGTCACAACAACTCATCAAGTCAGGAAATGCGTTGCGTTTATTTCTCACACCAGGAACGTCGCAGTATGCCTCGTCAGAATAAACGAGCGTCACTAGATGGTTTTTAATCCTTATTAGGTTGAATACTTTCAATGAACGCATATTTCAAGATGATTTTGGTTACACATTTATGTCAGCAGGTGGCAGAAACGTGTCATTCAGTGGTGTTTCTGATTATTAATTTTAGTCACAGTATAATCAAAACATAAACATCAATACATAGAAATATCGTTATATTTTGTGTTATGATGCTGAATTGATATTTAAAAACAGAGTATCCACTTTATATTGAGAATTCCTGAATTTTTTTTGTGCGGTGCAGTTCAAACTCCGACAGCTAGGTGGCGGAAGTTTTTATCGCCGTCATTCTGCGGGAACAACAAGATCTCGTGATAACAACAGATGTGTCTTAGAGGCGTCGGGCCTGAGTTTTCCAATAATATCTTAAAATTGCAAATATCATCTGACTTTTAGAATTGTGATATATTGTATTGTCTCGACCAGATTCGTGATAAATATCGTATCGCCAGATTATTGCCAATAAGTGCACCAATGACACGGTGTCGACAAATGTGAGGGTTTTTTTCTTGTTTGTTTTTGTGAAGCGCCGTTTTTTCTTATTTCTTTCACTCCTAGAAGGGGTTCATGTGTTTGTTATTTGGTGGGTAAGACAAAAAATAATAAATCAAGCTTGACAAAATAATAATTTAGAATTATACATTTTTAATGTTGGTTTCGCTTTATTTGAGAATGTCAAGAGATATACCTGAAATGTGTATAAATCCTCCACTCTTCTGGATTCTGGGGGATGTCATGATGGTTCAGACCTGTGATCAGGTTCAATGGACTAATTGGATTGGGCCCAAGCCCCCACAATGCGGCTCAAAAATTGAGGCCAACCCGGAAGTACCAAAAGTTGCAGTTCCACCCTCATCCGCTGGGGGCTGGTATCAGAAGCGAACAAATCCTCACCGACTCCCATGTTAAAAATACCAATTTCACAGCAGAAATAAACATGTTTACAGCCTGGTACCAGAACATGTTTTTGGTTTCAATTATCTAGTTTACACTCATGACAACTCTGAGGGGGGCGAATTTTTTTCTCACTCTTCTGTTTAAGTGTATTAAAAGCCTAAAATTCTGTATATTTATGTGTTTTAGGTCACTGCCTCTCTTGCACTAGCTGAGCTTAGATTTTAACATGTACTGTTTAACCATGAAATTTAAATGTAATAGGGTAAAACCCAGTGCATTTAACATAATGCTGCACTTTAGAAAATGGGTTGAAATATAACATGTTGGTGGAGCTGGGTTCTGACTATCAACTTGTGGAGCTCTCGGGAGATTGATGTTTTCCACCCGTTTCTCCCCTCCCCGCGGCTCGGCGCGTCTCTGTCTGCTGCGCGGGCTGCCGGCTTGTGGAGCTCTCGGAGACCTCTGTGTTCCACCCGGTTTTACCCAGCGGTCAGCCCGGCGTATCTCTGACTCAGAAGCTCTGGTGTTGTGCACAGTTAACTCCGGTTGTAGCTAGGTTGCTACCTCCGTTAACTTAGATCCCACCTCCGCGTTAGCTTTGGGTTAGCTTCAGGTTAGCTTGTAGCTAGTTCGACCGGGTGTCGCCATTTGTTCCCAGCCTTATGGGCTCGACACACGGGAGGCGACATCGCCTCTCCTCCATTCATTTTCAATGATACAAGCGAAATGCGAAAAACGTGCATGTGAAATTTTGCGCTCGTGCACGTGTCATGCACAGGCGACCCGCGACGCAATCCCACAAAGTTGAAACATTTTCAACTTTTCATCGCTGTCGCTCGGACGAGGACCAATCAACGGAGGTTTCATTCACTGACCAATGAGCGGACAGGATGCTCCGTACACCTCCAAGCAAACATGGAGGAGAAGTTGATTATTATTATGTTTTATGTAGTAAAATCAGAAGTAAGATTTCACATAACTCTAACAGCACCTTGTGAAACATCATATCTACCACTTTATTAACTCTGAACCGCTTAAATAACCTTAATTCCCTCCAACCTGACACAGCCAAACAAAACAACGGAAGTTACGATTTCGCCTTGGAACAGAACGCATAGACGGCTTTGCCGCTGGCGCGGATCGCCTCCCGTGTGTCAGGTAATAAAAGCGACGGCGACAAATTTCGCTGATCGCTGTCGTTTGTCGCCTCCCGTGTGTCGAGCCCATTACAGCCACAGCCTCAGCTCCACCTCTCTTCCCTTTTGTGGAATTGTCTGGGCTTGAGGGAACCTGTGACACGGTCAAAATGGCGGTGGTGGCCACCTCCCATTTAGCTTCAAAAACGTGTTATTGGAGCCTATGGAAATGAATTGTCCAGTATATATGTCGATGATTGGGCCAGACCACAAGACAACAACACACACTGCACATGGCCCGCGTGCGCGCGCGCACACACACGGCCAGGGGAGACGTCAGCAGGAGCACAAACATTCAAGCAGTCAACTCTGTGTTCTTTGAATTATTTATAGGGTTTTTCCACCAAAGAGCTCCCAGTTATAAACCAGTTTCTAAAAAAAGGAAAACTGTTAAGAACCAGTTTGGTTTTCCAGAACCAAAGAGCCAACTCAGAGCTGCATCATCAATTAAAACCTCTCTTCCGTGATGTTTCTCTCACGATCTCCAAAGGCTCCACTCAACCTTTTAACCTTCACAACTTCAACTTCAGTCACTGTGGTTTTTGTCCTCTTGCACTTTTTGAGTGAAACAAAAAAATAAATAAAAACTTAATAAAAAATTTAATAAATTAAAGCTGCAAGCAGCGTCGTTCGGCCCTCACAGCCCCGCGCCGCTCCGGCCTGGCCAGCAGCCCAGGGCACGTCAGCGGAACAGAAACGTTGACCATCCCGGCACCAGAAACCGCTAACGGTCACCTCGTCCACACCTCACCCTGACTCAGCATCCCCTCTGAGCCCACCATTATATTACACGTCTCACCACTAGGGCATACTCTATCTTTACCACACTGGTGATGTGATGACAGTGACCAACTTTAATGCTATTCTGACCATGTTTTGTAAAGTTATCGAAGGTTAAAGTTATCTAGGGGGCGCTGTGACCAACTACAGAAAAGTCCCATTGAGGTCAGCTTTGGTTGACAAAGATGGTTTTCTGTGATTTTGGCATCAATCGGACGTTGTGTGTGTTATCTAAAGCCAGTGTGTTTAAAGTGTTTATTCTGTGTGAACACAAAGATATTTTATTTAAAATGGTGTTTATAAATCTAATTAAAAACAATCAGCTTAAAATATTTTTTTCAAGCCTCTTAATGTTCTAAAACAAAGCTATGAATATATTGTGGAGTTATAAAAAAAAGAAAGAAACTAATAAAGTGGTCCTCTCGAATTTGTCTAAAAACATCCACCAATAACACGGCTCGGACAGAAAGCAACTATTAGACCATCTGGTTGTCAGTCTTGCTAAAATGCTACACTTCCCTCGGTCCTCCATTCTTTACGCCAGGGCTATTCAATTCCAGGGCTTGGTGGCCGGTATCCAGCATGTTTTAGTTTTAACTGTTTCAACACACCTGATTTCAATCAGCAGGAGATTAACAGGCTTCTGTAGAGCCTGATGAGCACTGCACAGGGACTTTAGTCTGGCAATGATGGATACCGGCCTTCGAGGCCCAGAATTGAATAGCCCTGCTTAACGCACTTGCATACTTAGCAACACAACACAGGTGTGAGAGGTTCATCACTCGACATATCAGAGAAGGAGAAACAGCTAGCTACTACCACTTCAACTTTAGGACAAACCACCTGAGTCCCAACCCCATTTAGAAGTCACAAACAACAAGAAACATTTGGACCAAGAAAACGGTGACTCTTGTTTAGCGCTCTCTCATTTCCTCTGGCAATGCGGGTTTCTGGTTCTGGTGGACGCAAAATCAGTGAAGATACCCTGGGGGGTTGCGTGACAATAATTGGGGTCAAAAGCTAGCTTGTTTGCTAATTCGTTAAAGAAGCTTTATCAAGCTTCCGTCTTGGGTTAATAAATGATACATGCTAGCTCTTAACTAGCATGTTAGTAGAGAGTTATCTTAATTGATAAGGACTAACAATATCTCTCTGATGACATTGTTAGCATTGCTTCGACACTCTGCTAACTTTGGCTAGTAAAGAGCTAGCATGTATCTTTATTTAGCAAGCCAAAACAGAAGTTTGAGTACTCACCTTCATAATGAATGTAGGTAGGGCTGCAGCTATCGAATATTTTTGTAATCGAGTACTCTATCGAATATTTTTTTCGATTAATCGAGTACTCTAATAAATTACCCTTTTGTATTTGTAAACCATTATATCAAATAGCATGTTAGAATTATGAAAGACCTGTTAAAATGAGCAAGCAATTGCCAGTTATTCTTCAAGTTTTATTCAAAATTAGTTTGCAAAACTTCAGCACTTCAACTTTACTTCACAGTAAACAAATGGCTGTGCAAAAAAAAAGTAAACAACCTGAGCCGATTTTCCCCTCGTGCGAGAATCTGCTAGCCTGCAAGCCAGACAAAAACTAGGAGGATAACTGTTGAAGTAGCGCTGCGAGCGGCTGCGGCCCAAACAGAACCAGAACCGCTCACGGTGCATGCGCAAACAGCTCGCCGGCTGTTTCCCTATTAACACACGTCCGTTTTAATTTCAACACTTTTTTTCTCACACAATAACAAGGATTGTCGAGAAAACATGTTTGCCGTGGTTTTGTCAAATTATACTGATCAAAAAACATTTATTTACTTTCTTTCGTTTTCCTCCGCCACTCATAAATACCCGTGTCCTCCTGCAGAAACCCCGAGGGACAACAAATATCAATAACAACACAATAAAAAGTCCGACGTGTTGTGTATAAACTGCTATTTTTAGCACATTTTAAGTCGAACGTGTTGCTACCAGACGTACGGTG